AAGTGAAGTTTATCTCACCCAATAATTCCTACAAGTTAAAAGACAGGAAAGCCATCATCAAAAGATAATTATTATCCAATTCTATGCACTATGCAATAAAGCATAAACAGTTGCCAAAAGTATGGTTTTAGAACAGAATATTTTTAAAAATCCCTTGATATGTGGAAATTATAGCCAACAAATATTATATGTTTGTTAGAAGGAGAGTTTTGAAGAAGCACAATAGTGATACATTGTCTACTGACAACGAATAGATTTTAAAATATATCGTTAAAATAGAATACTATTCTAACCTCTGACACTTGTTTGTTCATATAGTACAGAATTTCAAAACAAGAATAAAAATCAACAATAGTTGTTATATTTCATATTTTTATCATCAACTCTGTTGCTCAGATTAACAGATTTTAGGTGCGCAACATTGGCCAAATAATTAAACATTAATGCTTGATTTCAATAAATCTTATTTTTTTGTCCTTTTTCTTTTTTTATCTTAAAGAGAGTATAATAATAATTGATAAGACCTCAGAAATGATGCACATTTAGAACAAGATGAGCAGTATTCAACTGTGGGTTTTGTATTGCACATTGCTGCCTTCAAATAGTTGCTTAGATTACAGATATTAGCATATAGAGTAAGTGAGCCAGGGATATAGCCCAGCAGCAGAGGACCTGCCTGGCAAGTACAAGGTCAAGAGTTCAATCCCAGCACCAAAAGATAAGTACCCTTGTAAAAGATAACATTAGAGACAACACCCAGTTCCCATTTTTATTAAATTTCACTTTATTCAAGTAAAGTTAACCCAAACAGTAGTATTTTTAAATGTCATACATAGCCTATGTTTTCAATTTTATTCTTTCTCTGTGATTTTTCCTCAACATAGACAAAGTGAGAGAGGACTGATTTGACATGTTTTTCCCAACCATTATATTAATAATGATTTTTAAGAGCATGATTTGGGATGATTTTCTATCTTTCTTTAGTGGAAAGCATGCATCTATTTTGAGACAAGCACCTTGTTCCCAGTAACTAAAACAGAACATGGATGGGAAGGTAAATTAGGTCTCTAAAGTAGGGTGGTGCAGACTAAGCAAAACCGTGAGAACAACAGGAAGTGAAAGAGGGAAGCACTCAGTATCTGCAAGAGCATCCATGGGTGGGCAGAGCTTCTTGGCACAGAGCTTGCAGCCAGCAGCTCAGAGCTGCCTCCCAGCACCTGTGCATTCTCCATTGCTGTACAGCTAAGAGTGACAAAAAACACCCCAAGATTCCTCAGCAGTTATCTCGTGATGGGAAGCTACATACATTATTTGTTTTTCCTAGATGACAGATACTTACGTCCTCCATGGTGTGCCGTATTTTTGTATTCATGATTCCCTGAATCAAGACAACTCCTAGAATCAGTGCTATCTAGATTCAAAGACACAATGATCTTGAAACAGGGATATTCACAATAAACAAGCAGGCCAGCGAGATAGCTCAGTGTTCTAAAGGGCCTGCTTAGGCAAGTGCAGGGACCACGGTTCAATCCCCAGCACCACATACCAC